CAGGACCCCTAAAGAGGGGTATATGGTCCGTACTAGAGGCAGGGGCCTAGATAGATACCAATATCATTTTGAGGTCCATTTGAGGTAAAAGCGGACAGACGTCATTGGCGATAGAAGGTGAAACGGAGTGTGTATTACACTCCAGTCAGAAAGTTAGTTGCGGGGCAGAGCATGGCGGAAGTAAAGACGTCTTAAGAGATGTTACTCAAAATGGTCTGGATCTTTCCCAAGATTTCGTCAAATTGTCGGATCCATTCCGCAGCAAGAGCTTCGGATAAGGATCCAGGGTTGTGGCACCTGCGCGTGATTTTGCTGGGCTCGGCAGAAAAGCGCATCAATTTGTGGCAGAAAAAACAAGATTCATTGCCATTCCAGCAAGGTTGGACGATATGAGCCTTTGACATCGTCTCAGACATTTGGAGTCTGATAAAGGTGGCAAGAGCGTCTTTAAACTTACAGAATCTGTTAAGGGCGGCTTGGAAGCGGCCCTTGGCACCAGGTGCCCTGGGAACTTTTAAGCGAATCTCTTCTGCCGTAAGATTCATCCAAGTATCTAACGCTATCTGTGTGATACAAGAAATTCACTGGATTTCATTTTGAGGATTGAGTCTCATATCAAGCACCAAATTAAGCCAAGGTGGGGTGGAGGCCTTTTATGTGCGAATGCTGGAATAGGCCATGATCCATCAAGAGGTTCCTTTCGCAAGAAACATTTGGCCTGCGGAATGGCGTCGACAAAATCCGCCGTTGCAATGCGAATAGCAGTCGCATTGCAATGGTGATTAATGTGTATAGCCATGTTGTGCTGATGTAGATTTTGTGCCGCCCCCGTAAGCTCCCAGCAATGTGTAAAATAAACGTCATGAGGGAAACTAAGTTCAAGCGGGAAAAATGGCAGCCACTTACTAGGTAATGGTGGGTCATATAAACTAAAACGTTGGTTTTGTTGAAGCGCAAGATTAAGCAGATGCGCAGACAGCGCTTTGAATTTATATGCCGCCATACCGACATTTTGACATTTGGTCAAAAAGGGGGCAAGTTTACCTCCAACTTGTACAAAGATGGCAAGAGCTTGCGACCACGTCTTGATAGCAACGGCTTGCTGCGAGTGAACAAAAGTGGTCCTGGTCCAGAAGGAGAAAATCAAGGCATAGTCCTCTAATGTTGCAGCCCATTTTTGGTCCATTTGAGGTACCATAGACCATAATTATATAAGGAATCTGGACCCATCATATTGGTCATTATTTAGGCCCGTGTATTATGATGGTATATAGAGGGTCTAGTGACTTAACGCACCACGCTCCCAGCCAGGGTCCTGAACTGTAAGCCCGGAATCCTCAACCCGCACACCTCAGAGAAAACATAGGCTTTGGGGTTATATAGGGATACTGGAAGGGAATATGGAAGCTACTATTTGGGGTTTAGGGTTTAGGTTCCGACGTGGGGAGGGGACATGAGCCATAGTCTAAACTCCTAGTATCCCCCTTAATAACCCCTATAGTAGTCCCCTATATAATCCCCTATATAACCCCCCTTAAGGAGTTTAGACCATAGCTCAGATGGGTTCAGATATTGGGGTACCGTACTTTAGCGGCAACTTTTGGAGGTCCCTGTGATGAGGATTGTACTGTAGTGAGGTCTGTGTTGGGGCCGCCACCCTTAACTGAAAATGCTAAATCCTAGAACTCACATAATACCTCGCCCCGTCATCCCCACTTCTGGCCGACAGTTTTTACCCAATTGGCGCAGGACAAGTTTTTTCTAGACACGCGTATATGCTAAAAAGTATAATTCGTTTTCCAGGGAATGAAGAGCCACGCCTAAGGGCTCTGATTCGCTCTACATGTTTCCTATTGAGCTCCTTGTCAAAGTCCCCATCCTGTATTTTGGGCCCCCAGACATAGTTGTCATCTTCAACCGAGGCTTTATTCGTAGAGGGATGACAGGGGTTGAGGTTGATGTAATGGTTGTAGGATTTTTTCGTATGCACATGAGTGGGCCCTTCTCTTTCTATATATATATATAAATATATATGTATATATGTAAATGAGAGCATGGTTGCGAAGCATGTAAATGATTCCTGGTTGTGCTAGCCCATCCCGAGATCGCTTAATGGTATTACTTGGGCCGAAAGTACGATGAGACATGGAGTAATTACAGACGATGTGCCCCACGGGTTTGATTTCGGTATAGAACCTCCTTGCTTGGATGCAAAAACACGAAGAGATGACGGTTTCCGAACAACCGGGCTGCCTTCCAATCCAAACTCTTCATGACCCTATGATACCCAACCCCCATTATTCTAGTACTTAGGGTCAGTCTGGAATTTCTTATATCAACCGTAGGCAAGGGTTAGCAGCAAATTGTTGGGCTTTGCCAGCGGATTCTTCTGAAAGCTTCGACGCCTTTAAGATTTGGGTTCGCTTGTGTTGGGTCCTTCTTCTCCACACGTTCAAGTTGTTCAACTTACGCTTTCGACCCGCAACCGCATTGGAAAACAAGATCTTACGGCCATCCCTACGTAATTAGAGGATACTGATCACGTAGCCCCTGTGTCCATCATTTCTACATTCTACTTCCTGGTGGCTGGAAGGGACTGAGGGAATATAACCCTTATATATTTCCTACATAATTCCCGTATTCGTTACTAACCAGCAGCAAGTCTACCTGTTTCAAGAGGAGGTAGTTTCTCTAAATAGGGGCACCCCAATATAGACCCCAATATACTTGGTACGCCCAATTTTGGGGAACCCCCAGGACGATAACCAAGAGCAACGCTTCCCCATGGACGCCCTGTTACAAAGTTCACTTCACACTCCGCAGGTCGGATTTACGGGGTTTAGGGTTTGGGGTTTAGGGTTTGGGGTTTAGGGTTTGGGGTTCAGGGTTTAGGGTTCAAGTCTCAGAGTTTGGGGTTCAGGGTTTGGGGTAGGGCTTCCCTGGACCCTGGATGCCATTCCCCTTTTTAGGGTTAGGTCCTGTAACTTTGTAGGGTCTACTCCAAAAAAGGTAGGACATCCAGGGTCCATGTCAAGCTAGGGTTTATACATTTAGGGCGTATGGGCTTCGGGTTTATAATCCCCCTGAAGTAGACAGAATATGGCTTTGGATAATTTTAATAAGGTCCCCATATACCCCGTATTGGTTCTGCTTAAGGGGGACTGTAGGGCAATGCGGTGGGTATTGCAAAGTTCTATATCCTGTGAATCATGGCCGAATCGGACGGCCCACGGACTGCGGATAAGGCCCCCTGCCCTGTTGTTGGCAGTCACTGTGGCCAGCACTCAATTTCCTGAAGCCGCGGTGGATGCAAAACATCCAAGTATGGCACTATAGTATACTAAGGTTGCGCAGGATTTTTCATACCCTAGGGCCAAGGACCCAAATAATAGGGCTTTAGAGCCCAAATACTATAATATTAGTGGTATTTGGGCCCTAAAACCTTACTATTTGGGTCCTTGGACCCTTAGGGAACCGTAGTTGGAGATTTTTCGGCCCAGAAACTGCTCGGGTTAGAATGAACACGTCGGAGCTGGGCCATGTGAGCCATAGTTTAAACTCCTGCTATCCCCCCTTAAGAACCCCTGCGCTAGTCTCCTACATACATATGGGTGGTTTTCAAAATTATGGGTCCCTTTTTGGATCCCTATTATAACACGGCACCTAATATTTAGGGTACTCAAAAAGGGACCATAATTTTGACAACCACCCATATAATCCCTTATATAAACCACCGTTAGGGAGTTTTAAACTATAGCTCATGTGTAGGAACGGTTCTCAATATAACTACTGCTTCTTTTCTTCTCATTACAGCGGCCTGCTGTAGTAGCAGTGGTAGCAGCAGTAGCGGCAGCAGTAGCAGAAGCAGTAGCAGAAACAGCAACAATGTGATAGCAGCAGTACGACATTTCAGCTTGTGCTCCTAAGCCTCAAAACTTCGAGCACCAACGCCCTCACATCCCCTCCCAGCTTCCGATTTCCGAACCCTTCTTGGATCCTCCAGCCATATCTTGTGGGCTCAACTACTCAAATAGTCCATGCCCTGAGGGGTTAAGTACTGATATTGAATAATGGGGTTTGGGGCCCAAAATGCTACCCCAAAGGGTCCATGTAGGTATATGGTATATACTTAGGGCCCAAAAAAGTTCCCACATACCTACTTTAAGGCCCAAGTATATCCCATATAACTACATGGACCCTTTGGGTACGATCTGAATCTGCAAGGCTGTTGGTACCGGATACCCAGGTTTTCGGCAAGCATGAGACCAACTCTGACGATTCGGGGTTTGCGGCTTAGGAGCTGAAAAAGGCATCAGAATCATAATTTACCGTGATTCATAGGGTTTCCTTCTAATGGTTTAGGGTTGAGGGTGTAGGGCGTATGGTTAGGATTTCAGGTGTATAGGGCTTTAAGTTCCTGAGCAGCACCCCAGTTTCGGCACCATCAGGCCTCTGACGGTCAAGGAATTTGGGCGTGATGTAGAAGCCTATACCACTGTGAGTTCTGCACAAGCAGTCGAGGATCATGATACTATGTAATCCCCTCCTAGATAGTGAGCCCACCCGCACCGCCCATAAATGACAAAACCCCGAATATAGCGCCGTTCATATTATCTATGTGTGGGGGGGGGGGGGGGGGCGGGGTTCATTTTCGGAAGAGGTGATTGGGTGTTTAGGGCAATATAATATGAGCTATAGTCTAGACTTGTAGTATTCCCCTTAATAACCCCTAGTATACTCTCCTGTACGGTTTTTAGTCTACGGCTCATATTATGCTGTGAACATGCTTTGGGATTTGCCTCGGTTGGATAGAAGCCAGATCGCTGGGCTTACCGGTTTGGGGCTCAGGGTTTAGGGAAGGAATGAAAGGATGGATCCCTGTAGTAGCCCCTAATTCTATACTGCTGTTGATTCTAAAATTCCTGAATTACCCTAGTCAACTATAATGCTATAATTCCCAAAGGTATACAGTACTTAGGGTCATGCAAGATCTCTAGTAATTATGCATCCAGTGATATTATTAGTGCCATGTTCTCTCCGGTTGCTTCAGTCTCTACTGACCATGCAAAGGCCTGAACTCCCAAAAATTAGCTTTCACCACCTTTTCCATTCCCTGCTAACAACCACTAAGTAGGCGGAGCTGTCCTACAAGTACTGGAAAAACCAGCTGAATCTCGTACAATACTGCTGATGGAAACAATCCAGCCCGAACCTAGATACCCAAAGTTTGAAAACATGATACTGTAGAATCTCCAGGGTTCTGAAGGGCTTCGGATTTTTCATTTCCCCCATAAACGCTAATCCCACGCACCAGTAAGTCTAGGGTAAGACCTTAAAACCTAAACCCTTGACCCTGAGCCCTGAACCCTAAGCCCTAAACCCTGACCCCCTAGACCCTAAACCCTGAAACCAGTCCTGCTTCACTGTCCCAGGCTTGGCGCCCATAGCGCCATATTGAGTCAACCACTCCTGAAATCAAAGACTGAAACCCTAAGGCTCCATGTACTATTTATAGGGCTTAGGGTCCAATGTAGGTATTATTGGTAGACTTAGAGCCCCTAAAGGGCAGTCTAGGGTTCTGGTGTCAGGGTTTCGGGTTCTGGTTCACGCTCTTGGGTTTCAGGGTTTTGGAGGGCGGGAGTTGAGGAGGGAAAGATCTGTGGATTAACTCCCTTCCTGCATTTGTTTACGCAGCCTCCCCCACCCTAGAGCTTTGAATGCTTCCGATCATTATGTGAACTATAATCTAAACTCCTGGTATCCCCCTAAATATCCCCTATAGTAGTCCCCTACATAAGCTCCTTAATTAAGGAGTTTAGACTACAGCTCACGTGAAAACACTGTAAAGGGAGGCATTCAACGCTGGCTGGGGGTGCAAGAGCTCAAGGTAATGGATCACAGAGTCTTGCCTGAAGAGCTCCCGGGTCTCGCCCCTAAGAAGTTTCCCGAATCTGGCCTTCATCTATATTGTCCGCCTTAAGTAGATAGAATATAGGGTATATGGGGATCTTATCATAATATACCCAACGCCATATTCTATCTACTTGAGGGGGACTATAGCCCTTATACAGTCCCCTAAAGTCCCTTCAAAGGATCCCAAAAACCCAGGAAGACAATCCCAGGGGTACAGGCCTGAAACCCTTGATTGCCATGGGGGCCGGACAGGTAAGGCGAACAGGGAATGAGTTGGGTGGCTTTAGGGCTCAGGGTTTAGGGTTCAGGCCTTAGGGTTTAGGGCGTTAACTCTTCAACCCCAAACCCCAAATCCTAGGGCTGCGCGGATATCTGAAACCCATGCTTCAATGCTCGAGCGGTCCCCTGATACGGCGAAAATCACACCCTTACCCTTAAGCTCTCAAAGGGTTGCTGTTAGGAGGAATGATATTCTTATTCGTACTACTCAAATCACGATTATTCCTATAATGATGTTTAATAATATAGCTATCTAACATGATCTAAACCTTAAGTACAAATGCTTAGAAGCCAGACCTTGCATCTCTGAGTTTCCTGGAACCCATGTAGAAATCAGATGGTTCTAAGGATTATAGATAACAGAAAGTAGAAATTCTCTTCAGGCAACTTCCATATACACATATAGTTGCAACTATATAAATGGCACATGGCACCAGAAGGCAACCTAGCGTTGTGGGAAGAATGCTTCTCCATAATGGAAGCTTACCTATGGAAAAGTGACCCTCATTTCGTATAGCGAGGACTCCCTAATCTCGGCCTTGATACAGGGAAACCCCCGAACCCTATACCAAAAACCCTTCAGTTTAGGTAAATCTTCACACACACCCAGTCATATATTCTTAAACCTTGGGTCCCCCTGATATACAGCAACCCTTTTGCAATGCCTTGTAGAGGAACCCCAAGGCCCTGGTACTTGCAAATGCTCTAACAAGAGCTATAGTCTAAACGCCTAGTATCCTCCTTAATAACGGCTGTAACAGTCTCTCCCCTTTTTAGTCCCATATATAACGCCCCGTTAAGGACTCTAGATTATAGCTCATATCTGAAATAAGTTTCCGATATACCGCACGCCCTCACAAGGACAGCTGGTTTTGAGACGGCCTCCGTCCCATAACTATACTCTACACACGCCTTCGTGAGGGCTGTACTCCACACCTTTACTTGGGGGGCGTGGCATAAACGCAAAATGGGCGGCTATATGGATTATAGAGTTATATAGGGTTATATCCAGGTTATATAGAGGTAATGGAAAAGAACATGGAAATATGGAATTCCAAACGCGACACCTGATCAGTCAGTCGAGTGGCGCTGTTGTTGCTCGCGGATTCCTTCTGCGATCGGCATGGCGTGGGAAGTGGCAACCTCTCAAATGAAACAGGTCAAGGTGTGGGATTGATAGGGTTTAGGGTTTAGGGTTGAGGGGTTGATAGGGTTTACGGTTTAGAGTTTAGGGATTGATAGGGTTTAGGGTTTAGGGTCGCCATGTGTTCCCCCAAATCAGTTTTAACTTTCACGATGTTCCGAAACTCCGTTCAACATTGATATGGGTATTTTCGACAAAGTGCCCCCCATCATGCCATGCATTTGGGTCGTTCTCAAAATATTGGGCCCCTTTTGGTTATAGATTACATTACGGCCCCCAATATTGAGGAGTACCAAAACGGGACCCCAATTCTTGGGAACCCCTAAACGCTAAATAGCAGTTTCCATTTTCTTTTCCATTATCCCTATATAACTCCAATACTACCCCTATATAACCACTATATAATTCTCTACATAACCGCTATATAACCCCTTATATGACCCCTATATACCCATTTTGGGAGACCCCATGTAACCCCCTAAACCCTAAACCGTAAACCGCGTGGCTGATCGAGGTTTGGGGTTTGCGGTGCAGCCTCGACGCCTTCACAATCTCGTTTGAAAGAGCTGTCGCTCTAGCAATAATAGTAATCCCAAAGGGTCCATGTAGGTATATGGTATATACTTAGGGCCCAAAGGTATACCTACTTTAAGGCCCAAGTATATCCCATATACCTACATTGTCCCTTTGGGAATAGGAGCAGTAGTAATAATGATAGTAGTAATAATAAGCGTAATGATGGTAAGAATGGTAGTAAGAGTAATAATGGTAATATCATGGTAGTAATGACAGTAATAGCAATACTACTATAAGTTCCAGCATGGGGCTCCCCCTATAACAGCATTGAAGCACTGGCGCAGATCTGTCGGATCAATTAGGGACACCATGCCTGCAGGCTTACACCCTGCCCTCCCTGTTTTGGGGTTGAGGGTCATTTCTGCTCAGTTGCATGAGCTTTTTGAAGGGTGCCTGCAAAAAGGACCGACTGACACGTTTCCAGATGCAGTACCTTCAATCGAGTTCCGCGGCATCGAACTGTCAACCCACAAAACACATCACTCAACGCCCCAAACTTGAAAACAGCGCCCTAACAAAGTCATGCATGACCGTCAGCACGCTGTACTCGCACGCTGCATAGGTTTTTTGGTCGCCGTTCATAAAAGCTGTCATTCATCAACAGAATGACACCAGAAGCAAGCTCAACCCTAAACCTTGAAACTGAAGATTAAGCACGAGCCTTTCAAGCACTGAAATCCAGACTTCAGTACTTGGGACACTCTGGGTCTTTTACTTTTAAATCCTTACTGTACCAGGTAGTAGCTGGACCTCAAAATTAGGTAAGCCCGTGCCAACTCTGAAAAAGAGCCGACTTGCCTATGATTTTACGTACCTTCTCAGGGTTTGGTTAAACCCTGAAGCCTAAGCCCTAAACGCTAGACTCCTTATCCTCAACCATCCTTCTGAACCCTACCTTGTGGGACCCTGGAGTTACGTAGGGTACTACGTCTCCGTAATCAGCCCCTTACAACCTTTCCTCAAGCGTTTGTACGTAGTTTCCCCCACCCAGTAACAGCCGCCGGGCACACAAAGTCGACCCTAAGCCCTATAAATCCTTTCAAAACCTTGACATAGAAACGAAAGGTCCCGTCCCTGAGTAAAGGGGACCTGCGGGTCCCATAAAGTAAGCAGTAAGCCTTTGCCCCCGCGCCTGGCTTCGGTTTTTCCCTCCTCGGCCTTCTCCAAAGCATAGTCGAAAGACTGGAGCAGAACCTTTATAATCTGGAAAAGAGAGAAGTTGAAACTCATTAGGGTTCCGTGTTTATGGTGCCAGTACCTGAACCTCCAAAAGTGCAATAACAGCCTTTTGGGCTCTAAGTGTTTCGGTGAATGTTTAACCTTCTCTTGGGGTACAGGGAAGGTTAAGAGTTTCAAGATTAGGGTGTCTAGGTTTACTCACTCAAGCTCGCACATATCGTGAAGGTTTTAGAACCTCAGAAGGGCTACATTCCAGGTATGCAGACTGACCCTAAACCCTAAACCCAACTAGTTTCTATTCCTGCCAATGAATCCAAGTAGTTAGCTAGCAACTGAAAGCTGCCAGGTTGCAATGCCACTGACGACGGCCTGCGGATGGCTAAGTGAAGGACTTATTGCGTTTATACAAGGATATGTCGCAATGTTGCCCTCATAGAGGACAGTCAGATGGAACACCTACTTTGTTGTAGCCACTGACTGGGCAACCTAAGGGTTATAAGGTTTCAAGGACTGGGAAAGATCTCCGGTATGTGCTGCAACCGTGCGATCGTTTAGTTTTCAACTTGAACACACGCACATACACTTGATTCTTTGGTCTTCGTACGCATTCGGTGCTTGCACATGTAAATGGAGCTGGGAAAGGTTCCTGATGACCCCGAGACATCCGAAACCTTCCAGCCGTGAGAAGAAGTTCCAGGAGTATGCATGGCTTAAAATAGTCGCTGCATGAGCTATAGCCTAAACTCCGAGTATCCCCCTTAATAAGCCCTATAGTAGTCCCCTATATAATCCCCTATATAACCCGCCTTTCAGGAGTGTAGACTATAGCTCACTTAAGGATTCTTCAGGCACTTTGTAGCTATGGGAGTTGGCTTTCCGCTTGCAGCGGGCCTCTGCTGCATAACATGGCTTTTCAACATCCCTGGAACTAGCCAAAAGAACACAACCTGAATGGATTCCAGATCTACTACGGAAGAGCCACAAATTCTAGACATTATGCCGCAACATGCAACAACCTTACCCTGCAAGCACTGACAAACCTCTTTCTGAAAAAAGAAGGCCCAATGGATGTAGTTTCTGGATAGATACATGCAGTCGAAGGGAAAGCTAAAGCGAAACCACCCCAAATTCGGTCAAAACCCACACGCAACTCTCGGGTTGAATCCGTCCTGCACAATGTGTGTAAACCGTAAACCCCAAACCCCAAGCACTGGGAAGGGAGCAGTTGCTTAAGCCAACAACAACCACCCCCGCCTCAGTAACAATATACGCCCACTATCGCACCATTACACCTTAGCCCACATTACCCTAGGAAGAAAAAAACGGATCCTTTTTTACATAAATATAAGGAGTCCCATACCCCAAACAGTAGAAAAAGGGTCACAAAAACCGTATAATATCCCTATATAACCCCTATATCCCCCTGGAAAGGATCCCTTACATTGATCCAGATACCATTGGGGAAGTGTCACCTTGAACCCTAAGCCCCTAACCCCTAAACCCCAAGCTTCAAGTCCTCAGGGCCCAAATACTGTAATAGTAATGGTACTTGGGCCCTAAAAACCTATTATTTGGGTACTTGGACCCTTCGGGTCAATTACCAACCCTCAGCAAACGTGAAAGACTCGACCCGCAAGGACACCTGTGTCACCGTGCAGCTGCTCAGCTGGCCTTAATTTGCAAGTTTAGTGGTTTAGGGGCTTAGGAGTTTGTAGGGGTATACTGGCCATTTGCTAATTTGTTTCGACGGATTTTGTGAGCTTTGGCAGATTGTGAACTGCTCAGGATGTTAGGGCTTAAGGACCTGAACCCTCGAAACATGTGGAGTGACAACGTCTTGGACTGTTCTTTGGGCTATTATTTTGCCTAGTTTTAAGGTCTGGGTAGCGTTTTAGCGTCCTAGGGCCTCGGTTTGGGCCTTGGAGCGTTGGGGCTTTGGGTCTTCGGGCTTTTCAGGCTTTGGGTTTTTTGGGGTGCAAGCGTTCAAAATCCGAGGGGGAATGTACAAAGCCCGAATGAATTGGAGCTTTCTGGTAGTTTCTCTAAAAAGGGGGAACCCAACACAGACCCACAAATACTATCATCCTTATTACGGGGAATCCAACAAAATTCCCCCCTAATTTTGGGAAAGCCCCTTCTATAGTCAGGTTTACCTTGCAAGCTTTCAACCCCCATTCTATGTACATATCTCGCGCCTGCATTTAAGGTGAATGGGAAAATCCTGCCTCATGCCAAATCCGTGGAGTGCTGGAAACTACTACTGCGCTTATAGGAGCCATAGTCTAGACTCCTGAGAGGGGGTTCTATAGGGGATTACAAGCTGACTATTATAGGGCTTACTAATTAAGGTGGATACTAGGAGTTTAGGCAATGGCTCATAGGATTTCAGGCGGTGCAACGGAGGAGAGAGAATTGATTTATGAGCTGAGCGGATAGTAATTGCATCAGGCACGTGCACCCATAGTTGAGTAGTCGGTTCTCCTGGCAACAGACAATCGCCGCTCGAGATCCCCTCAAAACCCTGAGACGTCCTTGACATTCACAGTGGCAGGATCCGTTCCCTCGATAGAGGAAGTTCCTGGGAAACTAGAACACATCAGGCGAAAAGGGGAGTCCGGATGCGGAAAGCTAGTTCGAGCAAACGACTTGTCACAAAGCAACCTTTTTTTTTAACAAAAAGACCGATCCAGCTAACCTCAAACCCTCCTAACCTCAACAACCTACAACAACAACCTTGAAAGAAACTGACCCCACACCCTAAACCCTAAACCGTAGATAGTAGTTACCATGTTCTTTTCCATTATCCCCATATAACCCGGCCTATAATTAAGGTACCCAGAGTTCCAAGTGACAGATCCAGCATGCAAGGCAGCACACCCCCGAGCTCGCAAGGTTGCAAACAGCCTCTGGGCTTTCAAGGCTTTGGGTTTCGGGGTTTAGGTTTGCATATTATAATATACAATATTCTCTAATATTCTACTATATTATACTATAACCCTCTCCAGAATCGGTTGTTGACCATCAGCACAAAGGGAGCAAGTCCGCTAGACGCCCAGATAGGAGCTTCAGCGGCCCATACTGTAACAGACTCCCAAACCCCGCCTACCATCACCAAGAATCGCCTATATGCCACTATGTGCATCTTCCATGCCTAGGGCAGCTCCCATGTACCTGGACCTACTCGTAAGTTCTCAGTCCTGTAGCGATGTCCCTCAAAAGGACCCTAAACCCTGAAACCCTAAACCCGCAAGGACAAGAGTGTTAACAAACACCTACTCGCCTTGCAGACGGCAGAAAGGTGCTTGAGGAAGAAGCCTGTGGCATAGCCGTTGAGGACGATCGCCAGCACTGCAATCCACGTCCTAGGCGTTGACATACACGGCTTGGCTGTTTGCAGCTGAGTCAATGCGCCTCAGTAGATGACTTGCTCTCAAGCTGTGATGCCGCATTTCTTGACCGTTGGTCAGCTAGGAATGAAGGAATGGATCCTTATAGTAGTCCCTATATAGCCCATTATACTAGTTTCTATGTTCTTTTCCATTCCTCCATTCCCAGCTCACCAAAAACCAGATTTGGGCACCTAGCTTGGTACAGCACCTTGTGCCCGTGTGGACAAAGACATGCTATGCCCTCTGAAAAGAAGAGGCAGCTGAAGTTACATGACGGGATTCTGAGCTATGTTGAATTTAATTTTGTTGTTACAGCGATTGTGGCGTCAAAGGAAGCTTCAGGCATATCCCTTCTGCTCAAGCATCAGAGTGTATCACACCAAAGCGGTTTTCTGATCCCGTTCCTGTACTTCATAATCCCCTAGCATGGTGTGCAACCACCTTCTGATTTCTATGACTAGTACATTGCCATTGCTGTGCAACTCTTACCATAGTACTATTCCTATAGCATTATTACCGTATTATCATTCCATAGTACTAGCGGATCAAGCTGGATGAGCATGGAAGCTTCTGTAACCTTAGGGCCTTGCGGCTATGCAGTGCAATGTAGGGATGTCGATCCTAAACGGATTGAGGAGGCCCCGCTCAGGGAACTTCATAGCTTTATATAGATTATGTTGAGCATGTTAGCTCCGAGGTTAATCACAACATGCCAATTCCCTACAATTCGATACCCCTGCCCCAGTATGAAAGACTGAGTGCATCTTGATGCAACTGGAACGAAACCCTAAACCGTAAACCCTAAAGGCCATGCCCTGTTAGAGTGTGGGAGAGGGCGTAGAACCGCATGGAGAAGATAAGTTGAAAAGCTGTCTATGGCAGGTCTTGGGTCAATCCCCCACCAAATAATGTGTACCACAAGGGACTATTGTAGGTCTATGAAGGCCCTAGGGAGTTTTGTAGGTATATGAAGGCCCTACTAACTCCATATTCAGGGGCTATCACTGTAGGGGGTATTGTCATAAGGCAGGCCCTGCTGGATCCTGTTTCGAGAGCTGGGGGAACTTCGTGAAGCAGCATGGCGCAATGCGTGTTTTGGACCAATGCCCCGTTTAATGTTTCGAGTGCGGCATCGTCCCCAAACCCCAAACCCTACCCTAAACCCTAAACCCCAAACCCTAAACCTTAAATCCTAAACCTTAAATCCTAAACCTTACTCTAAACCCTTAACCCTAAACCCAAAACATTTCAAGTAAGACATCTTGCTCAGATGCAACCAGGGAGCCAGAGGTCCTTGCCAGATCGTGTGGCGCAAAGACCTTTTCTGGGTTGCTGATAATGAACGTAGGTTGCCAGAAAAGGTTTATGTAGGCTCTTAAGCTTAGGGTTTATGTAAGTTGCCATAATATGCGTGTATGGGGTTTAGGCCTCAGGGTTCAAGTTATCGTAATGATAATATGGGTACATAGGGTTAGGGTCGAAGTTACCGTGACAGGGGTACATAGGGTTTAGGCTTCAGGGCTTATGCTAGCATGATAAGGGTATAAAGGGTTCAGGATTTGAGTTACTTCATATGTGTACACAGGGTTAAGGGGGTAAGTTGCCATAATGTGGGTATATAGTAAGTACTAGCGTTTCTTATCATAATAGCCTATTGTTTAATTCCTTAACAGGAACCCGGTATTCGTGCAGCTGAGTGGCTGCGTGTGTTGCATACGGGCTGGCCCCATGCATCACTCTTATACGGGGGGAAGGGGACGTTCGTCTCAGGGATTGCTTGCTTTCTTGTATTTTCTTCCTTTGGAATGTTCATGACAGGCTGGCGAATGAACATTCCCAATAGGCTTTAGTTAATATCTTCTTCCATACAAGATACGTATATACAGGTATGCACATTCTACTATGAATACTATGTGCATGTAGCATTCATGTTTCTTGTTGAGGCATGCTGAGGACACCTAGAGAAGGGATAAACTTAGGGGCACGCTTGGGTATCAGGGATGTATTGTGGGCTCTCAAAATTGGAGTAGAAAGCTTTCGGCAAACCTATCCCAGACCACAAACTTAGGACCCTATCGCATGGCTATCTGCCATATGACTATGCTGGGGTCCTAGTTTCGGGCTTGGGGTTGCGAAGCCCTCTTACTGAATTAGGGGCCCTTGGTGACCCCTGGGAGATGTAGAGATTCCGACAGCCTCATAGTCACATTTCTAGAGTGGACGAAAACTTCTACTACGCTTGCTCTGATCCACTATGCCTTTGTAAAAAGAAGCTGCCTTTAAGCAGACCATGAATCCCTACGCCTCAGTATCTCCTAGATACGTACAAATTAGGCGCGCTATAGAAAGGGGGGTAGGGTGGAGAGGTCTAGGTAATCCGCCCAAAAAAATGTGGATGCCATTCGCAAGAAAGACCCCGCCCCTTTATCCGCGCACAGGCCCCCTAAACCCTAAACCCTGTGGTCCGTTTGGGAAGCTTGACCCCAACCCTAAAGCAACTCACTGAGCTCTAAGAATTGAATCCTACACCCGTACCGAGCAAATCACCTCAGATGTTCGAGAGCTTTGTCAACGTAATATTGTATCTGTTTGTAATGTAGCAGTAGTAGCAGCGGGAGTAGTAGTAGTAGTAGTAGTAGTAGTAGTAGGAGTAGCAGTAACAGTAGCAGGAGCAGCAGCAGAGATGCCGACTTCGAGATGTCTCAGAGGATGGACGTGGCTTATCCCCAAATCCTAAACCTAAAACCCATAATCCATTGGGATCCTGTTGGGCATCTCGCACGCTAAGCCCTGAACGCTACAGCCTTAATCCTGAGCCCTAAGAACTGCAAACCTTGAACCCTAAAACCTTGAACCGTAAGCCGTAAAACTTATACCCTAAAACCCCTTAACCCGTAAAACCTAAAAGCCCTAAAACCTAAACCCTGAAAGCCATGAACCTTAAACCCTAAAACCTAGAAACGCTAAAAGCCCTAAAACCTAGATCCTAAAGCCTTAAACCTTAAACCCTAAAAGCCCTAAAAACCCTAAAAGCACTGAAACCTTAAAACCCTAAAAGCCTTAAACCTTAAGCCCTAAAAGCTCAAAACCCTAAAAGCCCTAAAGCCTTAAACCCCCAAAACCCTAATCCGGGCCAATGGCAAGTGCTCTCTCCAGCCTCGGGGGTGCACGGACAAAGCCTGGGCTGTTTCTTCAGGCTTGATTAGGTTTAGGGTTTAGGGTTTAGGGTTTAGGGTGTACCTGAACCCCAAAAGCATGTAGAATAATGGCCTTTTGGGCTATTATTGGGGGTCTTGGGCTATTATTTTACCTACTTTTGGGGTTCAGGTAGGGGTTTAGGGATCCCCAGACCCTCCAAGTAGGGGCCACACCCACGTTCAAGCCAGAGCTATAAGATTCTGTTGCTGTACAAGGCTTATATACCCCCTGCAAAGCCTGCAACCCTCAAAGAGAATCCCTTTTATGTTAGAAACCCTAACCAAACCCTATAGATCCCCCCATACAACCTTTGTCATAGAACCCAATAGTAGCCCAGCGGCGGCTTGGGTGAAGGGCCACCATAGCCAAGAAGCAAGAGGCTCAAGCCTTGAACGGTTAAGGGTTTAGGGTTTAGGCTAAGGGGTGGCTTAGGGACCATTGGGATACATACAGATTAATTAACAAGGAGTTCTGGGGTCCGATTAAGGATTCTACGGGAGGCAATAGAAAGTAAGTGTATGATGCAAGTATGTGGGGTCCAAGAAGTTGTAGTTATGAGTTATACCGCAATCTATCTACAAAGTTCTCCTGCTCCTCCCAGCAACTCTTAAGGCACGTTGCTTAGGCAAAAGGATTTGAGCCATAGTCTAAACTGCAGGTGTCCCCCTTAATAACCCCTATTATAGTCCCCATATAATCCCCTATATACCACGAGTTTAGATTATAGTTTATAGCTCATTTGGTGCTCCTTTTTGCGAAGTTCGGGTTTGGCAGGTCTTCCGGTCTTCCAGTCGCAGGGTTTAGGGTTTAGGGTTTAGGAGCCGAAGCTGGGAAAAGAAAAGGAGGTGATTTGCGTTCAAGCATCGGTTTCGTGCTTGCTGGACTTAATGTTGCTATACTGTGCTACAATGTACGATAACATGGGAAAATTGGGGTTATATTGGGGTTATGTTGGGGGGTATATTGGGATAATAGACAAATGGAAACCCTAAAACCCTAAATCTCTACCAACCCCCCCCCCTCACGCGGCTGACGGCTTATTCCATGGCTGCTTAGTGCCTTCGGGTTTGGGGCATGCCCATCACTCCTGCCCAAACTCAAATCGCAAGCTCAAAGCCCAAATCCTCAAAACCCAGAAGTCCAGGGTTTAGGGTTTAGGGTTTTCCACTGTACAAAACCGCGGAAGAATGAGGTTCGAGATGCATCTGTGATATAGTAGGCTACTGCCACGGCAGGATTAGACAGGAAAAGGCCATTCAGGCTCTCACAGTACTGGGCCTGAACCTTCGAACTCACCACTGTACACATAGTCATACATTCCTTCAGCAACAGCGCTGCAACATTGTAACCATGAATACTTAAAGCCGTAAGATTGGCTACTGCCCAAGGAACTAGCGGTCACGTATGTACGTGTGTATAAGCATGTGTTAATGTATATGTATATATGTTTGTATATATATATATATATATACGTATCTTCGTTTGCCTTTGTCAAGAGTGTAGCATTACTACACTTGCAGCATTTGCCGGCACTGCCATATAGGGTGGGGGAAGCAGCACGCAGCTTGAATCCCAAAGAGGGTACTTCCTACGTAGCACACTTGCAAGGGAGCAGTAACTTATACAAGCTTTATACACCCAGTACAAGTTCCCATGACCGCCCACACCTCCCTTAGAGCCTGTCTTACCCCGTAAATTCCGAATACGTAATCTGCCCCATGCCTGGTCCTGAACACCCTGAATCATCTCAATGTCCATGTCATCTTCCATTTTCCGTTTGATTTTCCACTGTTCTAACTCTTTACGCCACTGCTATGAGCCTCCACATGAACCCCAACACAGTCCTCACAACCCTCTATAGAACATCAAACCCAATAACAAGTCCAGAAGCTGGTCATCAACATCGCAGATTGCACATGGAAAGAAACCTGATGCTTTTTGATCGTTTTTTCCAAGTAAGGGTCCAAGTACTGGTCCCGGTGCCGCGAAAGTAAAGAAAGCCAGAGAGGGGAATACCTGCATAGATAGTTGGTGGCCCAAGTATAAGTATTTGGGCACCAGGACCCTTTGCGTAAGGCTGTAGGTTCAGGGGGCTTCAGGTATTGGGTGATGCTGGTTTCTGCTTCAGGCATCGCAACTAAGGCTTCCTAAGGATGTGGAATCGACATTTCGAATCAACTAAATCAACTAGTTAAGATTCAGGGTCTGAAGCATGCTTGAAACAGGTTGCCCTTAGGGTTCCTGGGGATGCCAGACTCTGAAGATTTGACCTCTAGTTTCCTATACAGAGGGCCCAGAATGCCATAATCCTGATTATGGGTACTTCATAGAGGTACCCTTAATTTGAGGCAACCTCCACATGGCAGAAAAGGGGGGTTCGGCGGCCCTTACCTTGCAGCATAGCCAGCGCTATGGGCATGTCATAGTAGGCTAGAATCGCCCCCATGAAGGCCACTTGAACCCCCTTTTCAGCCCGGGCCCTCTGACCCTGAGCTTCAAATCCCACACGGGAGGGGGTTCCTCAAATTATTGGAACTAGTATGACTATTCTTGCTATCTTTATTAATACTGTAATTACTCTAATTACTATTAAGAGAGTTTGGGGTTGAGGGCTTAGGGTCTCTCCGGGGGGCTTGTTTTGAGGAATTTTCGTATCCAGCTCAGCCACTACCCAGAAATCGGCAGTGCGGCTCTTGTACAGATTCTCCGACACGATGGCTCCTGTGGGTCCAGCACAATGTTTCGGGTTGAAAAGCCATAGCGATGAATTGTTTGGGGTTGCTGTTAAGGAACTTAAATGAAGTTACTATATTGGGTTTAGGGTTTAGGGTTTAGGGTATATTATCCCTCTATAATGGAGAATCAAATGGAAAAGAAAATGGAAAGTGAACTGGAAACTGGGGGAGCATAGGGATTTAAGGAGATTAAATTAAGTTACTATATTGGGGAAACCCTATTAGTTCCTATATAGACCCATTATGGTAACTGAATTTAAGTTCCTTAACAGAGATGAATTGTTTAGGGTTTAGGGCTTTTTGGATAGGAAACTCCTGCATGTTTCTTCTGCAAATGTATGTGTATAGATATGCGCATGTATATGTGTATATATATATATATGTCTACGTAAGCCCTTTGTCACTCAACATAAAATGAAGACCGATATAAACTTGAAGTAGAATCAACTTGAAATTGATCACATAATAATCTGCGTCGAGACGATTCAAGCCGCTTTCGGCTTTAGATTGTAATATAAAGGCCATAAGACCACAAGAACACAACCAACAACCAGGAGATCGAAGGGATCCCTGATTCCTTTAGAGTCCTTATTATAAGCCCCCCCTGATGGGTTTAGGGTCTGGGGTCCCCCCGCCCCTCGGATCCATTTTTACTGGGATCCCTTTTTTGAAAGTAGTCTGGGCCCTTTAAAAAGTAGTGTGCAGTACCCTATATAACCCATTATATAGATTATAATAGTTTCCATGTTCTTTTCCATTATCCCTGTATAACTCCCTATACAACCCTAAAAATATACTATGTATCCTAGAACCCTAAACCCTAAACCATCCGATAAGAGGGTTCTGATCTTGGGATTCTCTTCTGGCTGCCGACGCCAGTTAAGCTCGCATCCTTGCATCCCATGGTGTGTGCAGTCCTGGTACCCCAGTATATATTGGGGATTTATAGGGATACTGAAAAAGAAAATGGAAACTGCTATGGTATATTGGGGTTATATAAGGATAATGGCAAAGAAAATGGAAAGTACTGTATTATGATAGGGTTATATGGGGATAATGGAAACGAAAATGGAAACTATCATGTCATAATAGGGTATATAGGCATGCCTGCCCCAGCAGCAGTCATGAGGAGAAGGCTTAGGATTTGAGGTTTTTCAAATCGGAGGGAGTTTTCGTCTGCGTGAAGTGGACTGGATTCTTCCCGAGTCGGCCGACAGATGCGTTTGTGCACACTTTTCCCATAGCATCTGCACCCTCACACGCTCGAACCGCCCGACCCAACATGCGCAAAAACTCCCGACACCTGGACCTAAGGCTTAGGCTTTACAGGGTAGCCCTAGTTAAGGGTCCAGGTACCTACTAATCATATACTTACCCAAAACCTGTACTATAATCACTATTACCCAAAACCCAAGTCCCTATGTATTGGGTACTTGGACCCTCTGGATACTGCAAAAGGTCCTGTAGAACTGAGCGCAGCCTTCAACAGCGCCAAGCCAGCACCACTCATGGTCTCGCCTTAGCTAGCAGGATTCTCAAAACGGTGATAATGGAAAAGAATATGGAAACTACTATGGTATATTGGGGTTCTATAGGGATAATGGAAAGGAACATGGAAACTACTGTATTATGATAGGTTAATTTGGAGTCATATGGGGATAATAAGAAAGAACAAGGAAACTACTGTAATGGTTCTACTCAAACATCCAAAAGGAGAACCCTATGACTGTCATATGGCACTTTCTGTATAAGGTCCTTGAAAAGGGTAATCCAAAAACATGTGTATACAATGGAAGATCGTGGATCTTGGGGGCCCTATACACGTGTCAGATCATACAGGCTTTACGGACATCCCTATACGGGTTCTGTCGGCAGTTTCGCCAAAAAGCGCTTTGGAGGATCGTTTGGAATGGGGTGTCCCTCAGCATACAAGTGTCAAGCAAGTGCAAGGTTGATAGCGTAGGAGGACTTTTGCATCTCCCTAGCTTGCACTAGTTCTTTGTCTGCACTACAAGGGTTGAGGGTATTGTCACAATTTCTCCAGCTTGGCTTAGACTCTCGAAAACCCTAAACCCCAAGCCCCAAAGACCCTAAACCTTAAACCGAAACGTCTCACCTTCTTGCTGGCCTAAGAGCAAAACATGAAGAGGTTCACCCCGGCAAGCAAGCAACCTCTAAGAAACTCGTTGGAAACGGCAAGACGAGGCTTCGTCATGACTCCCCTATGATGGCGCTGAAACGAAGTGTTAACTTCAAACTGCATATTCCCATTTGGCACAAACACAGAACCATGGCAAGCGTTTTTCTTTTCATCTGCGGACGAGGTCCTTCAAGGGTAAAAAAAAAGGATGTTCCCAAACACCCAAACCTAATGTCTACCGGGCAGCTCATCTCGGCGATGGGCCCTCCAGATGTATCGACGGCCTAAGCCATATGGGCAGGATTCTCTTATTGATCCAAGATCCAAGTCCTATGCATGCTTGTCATGGGGAGCAATGCGCAAATCAAGGTTAAATATCTCATTGCCACTGTGCAAGACCCAAACCCACAGGCGAAGCCTGAACCGTACGCGTGACTCTCAGCCCTCAAACTCCCCTCATCCCCTAACGTATCCCAAAATACCAATGTTAATTAAAGGACCTCCCGGCAAAAGCAAAGGAACTCAAAATTTCAAAAACCCACGGGCGGGTTCTGGTCCACTATGGCGCACACACCCTGCTCGGGAATTTTGCAATTTCTGACTCTAATGCCCGACAAGGAAAGACTCTCAGTGCTTTGAAAGGGGAGGACGACGAGAAGGATGCCATTTCCCAAAAGCTGCATAAAGAGGTCTCTCACAAAACTTGATGAATCTCCTTCTAAACTAGTACTTTTTACAGAATCTTACAACATGTACGTGATGTTTTACGTGATGTTTCGAATTACAGAGTACGGTCATTCTTCCACGATGTCCTGCATATAACAATGGAGTATCACACCTCAGAGCCTTTTCTCCTTGAACGCCTCGCACGACCCAAGCAAGCCCCATGCTGATCCGTGTGAAGCCTTCGCCTGATATTTGGAGAGTTCCCAAATTCCTCTTGTAGAAATCCCCATGTTAAAGACTGAAGTATTTTGGGTGTATCTTCGACGGGGGCCCGTGCTTTTGGAAACCCATCCCCTTCCGGTCCCAGAAAAAAAGACGAGCATCGGCCACAGCAGCCAAGGAAATGGTCAAAAGCCGCAACCATTTGTGCCAGCTCCTCAGCGGCTCGCGTCTTAACATGAAATCATTAGGGTACTATTAGGATTTAGGATTTAGGGTTTAGGGTTATGGGGTTTAGGGTTTTATGGGGTTTTACAGGGGAATCTTAGGGTTATATTGGGGTTATATGGGGGATAATGGAAAAGAAAATGGAAACTACTACAATGAGATTTATGGGTGGTTGTCAAAATTA